GGATAGATGGATAGATGAATAGATGGATGGATAGATGGATAGATGGATGGATAGATGGATAGATGAATAGATGGATGGATAGATGGATAGATGAATAGATGGATGGATAGATGGATAGATGGATGGATAGATGGATGGATAGATGGATGGATAGATGGATAGATGGATGGATAGATGGATGGATAGATGGATGGATAGATGGATAGATGGATATAATTTTATTTCGAACATGCAAATATAATTGAAATAACAACAGAAAAAAACAAAAAACAAAACTTAAAAATCATCAAGTTTTCATGTATATATTTTTGTCTACAGAATGCCTGTACTCGAAAAGGAGTAGGATGAAGTTTACACTTTTCTTGTTCCTACCCCCTTATTTCAAATCTCATTGCTTACAAATCCATATCCAGGATTCAACATTATTTGATCATATATGGTTAACTATGTACAAGTCGAACACATTGAACATACACAAATAAAAACCATTTTCAGCACGTCCCAGAACAACAAGCTACATTTTTACATAAACTAATCACCCTGTCTATAACAGCCGCTTAATCTCTGAGCTTGTTTTATATCTATGTGACAAACACCTTAATAAACACTTAAGGTTGGTGGTAGTGAAATTCCAGCATTTAGATACAGCAACGATATTAGTGATAATTCAATTCAGTTTGATCACTGCAACTGCAGTCACCTCAAGCTTTGTATTGTAAGATAAAGACCTCACAGTAATACAGAGAAAATCCCAGCAATCATGCGACCCCCTGTGCGCAAGTACTTGGCAAACTGGGAAGGAAAAACTCCCTTTGAACCAGGCTCAGAGAGGGGGGGCCATCTGCCGTGACCATGTGGGGGTGAGGGATCTTCTTCCACCCTTCCTCCCTCACTGATATGCTCTCTTTCATCATGCCCAAGCATAATAAATCATTTAAGACCACACTTGTTGCTTCTTCACATTTTAATAATAACTTTTACAATCAGGGCAATTCAAGGATGGAAGCTGGCAGCACACACTGCTCTCATTAATTTATCAGCTTGGATTTATTAGCTTGTTAAAAAAGAAAGAGACACACAATACACTTATTCAGCCTTGGTGGTTTCCCTGCTTGACACTGAGCTAAGTCCAGCCTGGCACACACGGCACAGATGACCTCATCACTGTATGTGCTGGAGTCAACAGCACACTTTGTGTTTTCTTAAGTATTTTCTTTTTAAGTTGGGTCATGCTCAGGGCGATAATTAAGTCCTAAGTTTGGATTACCTTCCTTTCATCCTCATAGCTGTAAGACACCTTCAAGAGGAGTCCCAGAAAGTCTAAGGAGGATCATCCCGTGCACACACGGAGCAGCGATACATCAGAAAATGCATAACCAGTTTAACCAATACGATTCATGTGCCTTGTATGTCTGATGGGCTGCTTAGCTTAGCCTGTTCTCAATTATAGCCCTCAGTTAACCCCCTGCTCTGATTAATTGCTAGCAGGCCGCCATGCTTTGTTAAAATCAAAGAGATCTGACTTTTTGTGAGGTTTTTCCTTACACAACAGCAGCCAGCTAGCCCAACAACATAAGCAGATCAAGGCCTCACATCTGATGTGTGTTTGGAGGTCAGTGAGGAGAAGGCAAAGTATGGACGGTGAATGGAAGACGGCCTGTAGGGTAAAGGAGGGACACACAGGGGTAGACACAGCACAAGGTGCACCTGAGACTGCTGAGGCCTTTCTGACGGGCCTCTTAACATAATCAAGCCCCTCAGAATCCCTCAGCCTCTCACGGACACTGACCGCACTGGCAGAGCTGCCGAGCGGCGCAGCGATCCATCACGCTGGAGGAAACAGTTGTTCAGGCCAGGACTGGCCCAACTTCTGACTCTTGGTACTGACAGAACAGCCTTGTTCTGCTGCAAATCTCTCATCAGCAGGCAGCCTTACGAGAAGAGGACTAACTGTTACCACACGTTTCTAAAAGCCCAGAGAGCCGAGGGAAGCGCCGCTGAGATCTGTTCATAGCGGTTTGTGTGTTATGTGAGAGCGCTTCCAAACAACACTGACGGCTCTTTTCCATTACACAACTCTCTGGCCTTTGAGCCTAATCGCAGCCTGTTTGAAGCTGAACTTGTAGTGCATCTTCTCAGTGCCTTTTCTTACAGCGTCCAAAAGCAAGCTCCACATATTCAGGATGTCTTCCCCCACTCGTTCCCTTCGGTCAGCTGAGCAGTTGCTGCTTTCGGTCCCAAAGTCACGACTGAAACTTGGAGGAGACTGAGCGTTCTCTTTGGAATAACCTTCCTCTCCATATTAGACCGGCTACATCAGTGCCAGTTTTTAAGTCCTTATTAAAAACCTATTTTTATTCGCTGGCTTTTAACTCTGTGGGTAACTGACATTTTTATTATTATTTTTTTAAATTTTATTGCTATGTCTGGTTTATTACTATGTGCATATTAGTATTGTTCAGCACTTTGGTCTACCAGGTGTGTTTTTAAAGTGCTATATAAATAAATAAATAAATAAATGATGATGATGATGATATCTTTTCATTACCTGGATCTGCTTATTCTAGCATCACCAGTCAGGCCAAGTAAAGGTTTTCCACATCAATATTTTCCAAGTTGGCTTTTGGGAAACCAAAAATATGTTCAGATAAAAGAGGAGGTGTTTAAAGCCATTGAGTAGTCTTGGCTTGTTGTTCGCGGATTATCTCGGTACATAAACATTTACACAAATATACAAATGCTCGAATTGTAGACGTTCTCAATAACTACAGATCTTTTTACTGCTGGCCTACAGAGGTCTGACTGTTTTCTGGAGAACTCATTGGTCAGCATATATGAACATTACACCTTCTAAATACAAGAACGCCACATTAAATGGGGCGGTCGTGGTTTAAGAGTTGGCAGCTCGTCTTGTAATCAGAAGATTGCCGGTTCGAGACCCGTTGCCTACTGGTGGTGGTCAGAGGGCCCGGTGGCGCCAGTGTCCGGCAGCCTCGAATCAGAAGATTGGTGGTTCGATCCCACGCTGCTTCCTGGCTGCATGCCAAATATCCTTGGGCAAGATACTAACCCCATGTTTGCCT